TATTTGACGAGCTTGTATGAACGGATGCCAGATTGTAGGGAAGGGAGCTTAGCAAAGGAAGAAAAACTACTAAAAGCCACAGGACAGAGAAAGTTGTGGAGAGCCGTGATCATCTATGCTCTGAAGGGACACAGCCATAGAAGTAGTAAGAAAAGATGTAAACCTTTCTTCCTGTTTCTTATTTCTGGGTTGAGTTAGGCAAGTTAATTTTATGACATTTTTTTTTTTATAGAGCATCCAGTAAGGATCAGACAAATGACAAAGTCATGTCACAGTGAACTACTAGTGATTTTTTTTACTACTAATATTAGTGGAATGTTTTTATCGCAAAAAATTATTGCTAATGCTTCTTTTTGGCTATAATTTTTTCCACCAGTAACAAAGTTCTTGACACATAAGAAACAGCAGATTTTATATTTCCATCCATTTTTTTGTGTAGTAATACAGCTCTGACACCATATTCACTAGCATCAGCAGATACTATTATTTCCAATGAAGAGTCAAGATATACCAGCGCAAGCTCAGAAATTAGTACTTTCTAAAATTTTTTCAAATGCCTTCTGGCAGTCAGCCAATCATTTCCATTGTTTGTCATTTTTAGTAGCCCATTCAATAGAGCTTTCAACTCATACATTTTTGGTATATACCGACTATATTAATTCACTATTCCTAAAAATGATTGTAATGTAGAAAGGTGTGAAGGAGCCGGCATACCCTTTCTGGCCCTCATCTTTTCAGGATCCAGTCTGTGACAATTTTTATCAATAATTTGCCCTAAATATTTAACTTGTGACATAAATAATTCACAATTGTCTTGAGCTAGTTAAAAAACCAAGCCTTTTTTTTTTTTGACTATCATTATGGGTACTGGAAGAGTCGGCTGGGGAAATAACTTCCATAATACTTCATTTTTGTAGTCAGTCCAGTGCCTTGTTCACTGTCTCAATGGCAGCAAAAGGGGTGGGTCGTTTTGGTTTAAAAGTTGGTCTCACATTTTCTTTTGCCTATAAAGATGACTTTACTTTAGTGCAGAGATGCAATTCCTCTGTAAACAAGTCTTCATACTATTGTATAATTTTTTTCATTAAACTGTCAATATTCACATTTGAGCATCTGACAGACTCGCAAATGTGACAAAAGACATGACTTACCTTGGAGTTCAAAACGAGCGCAAACATGTCTTGCCTGCAAAGTAATGACGAAAAGAAACATGGTCGCTATTGATGACACAATTTATGCTCGCCTATCTCGTCCAAAACGAGATGATATTTGCACACATGCAAATTTTGGCCGTATCAGACTGGCATAAAAAGTGAGGTGCCAGCAGCACAACTCAGGTTGGGAGTTATTTAGCAGACTGTGTGCAATAGAGTTGGATGTACGAATTGACAGACGGACAAAGAGGAAGTTGAAGTACTCGCAGCTGAGTTGGTGTCTGTTACATGACTGCCTGGTGTAACGGCCGAGAAAGGGAGTCACACAATCCATTTCCTTAAGGCGACCGATGACAAAGGAAGAATAGCTGGTCTGCCGGCAAATGGCGCACTGCACTTTCTGACTCCTCTCTCATCACTTTTTTTTTTCTTTTTTGTTTACTACAGCAAATAGAACTGATTGGTTCATTTTATAAATTAAACAAGTGTAGCCAATCTGCACTGAATAAATTTAACTGTTTTACTTTTTGTCATGTGTATGCTAATGCATTAACTTTTTCTTTCAGAACAAGACTCTGCAATTCAATTCACTTACTATTTTTAGTTTCTCCTCCAAGGCACGTCGTGCTATAAGGTAACAATTTTTTTAATTTTGGTGTACCTATTTTTTTTTTTTTTTTTTACAAGACTCTACTGAAATTGTAGTAATATCAGAGCCCATATATAACTGTAGGGTCACAGCTTTGTCGTTCATGCAGATACAAATTATTTTTGCTTTTTTTCAGTAGTGAGAATTACTTTCACAAAATCTATTCCTTTAGCATGGTTATTATTCTTGATTTTTTTACTTTTCACCTACAGAAATCTTTTTTGTGTCCAAGCTTCCCACAACAGAAATATTTTTGTTTTGTTTTAAATGGGCAATTTTTCCAGAAATGCATTACCCTACAACTGCAACAGGGGTCGAGTGCAGTATTATTTTTTGCTGTATTTTTTATTGCTTCAACTTCAATTTTCATTTCTTCCAGTTCTTCAATTGTGTCATGTTTTAAATTTATTAACCTTTGACACTCCTCAGTCATCGTCTATAAATTTATTCCTGGGTTCTGTTCAAATTTTGCTAACATTCTTGTCCTTATTTTGCTATCTTTGTGACTTCAGACGCAACATGAAAATTAAACATTTGAATTGGTCTTCTGTTAAATCTTTTAATTTAATCTTTTCACATTCTCTGTTCCCACGTTCTGTTCTCACATTTATACAAGTGTGGGTGAGTCAACATCATCACTTTGGGTATAACAGTTCTTTTTTTTTTTATACTAATGTTCCCCCAATACAAGACCCAAGAGCCACTCAAGATAGAGAGTTACTGTGTGTTGTCGTATGAGCATAAGGAAAGTTAAAGTAGATTTTTAATTGTTATACCATTTCTGTAGAATCATTTTATATCACTTATATTTAGAGAAAATGGACAATCTCTTTATTTTTTTATATAATTCAATTGATTTAAGACATGTTTAATTCTATTTATTTTAATACCATGGTGGTTCTTGTTTCAGTAAGAATGAAGAGTATAAAGCAAGAAGTTAAATTCATGGTGTTATGTTGGAAAGATATCAGTTAACTCTCGACTTGAAAAGGTCAATGGTTCAGAAAACATCCTGCTAGGAGTCTGTTCCACAAAGCAGCATTTCTTGTGAAGAAACTTTTTACTATTGGAAGATGAAGGAACGGTGATGATTCACATTTGTGTATGTGGCATGGCAGGTCTCAGTTGTAAAGCTCAGTATTGGTGGAACTAAGAAATGTAGCAAAATTTAGACATTTCCTCTTTAAATGCTATCTCTCCACAATGATTGAAATGCATTCTATTTCATTTCCTCTGAAATGGGACCTACCTTTATGGACTAAATGGACTTGTCCTATTACTATATATACGGGGAGATTATGCCTCTCAAGAGAGAGCTGTCTACAGTTGACGAGTTGACTACTGTACTTTGCCGTCAGTCGGACGTGCAACACTTGTATTCGGTCTTTTTGTTAATATGTTTTCACTAAATTACTGAGTTTGAGTTTTCTTTTGGACCTATTCTGGGTCTACAACACTATCAAATCTCTATTCTATAATATAAAACACTGTATGACTTTATACGTTTACCAGTCACACAACTTGATCTGCCACTTCTTAATAATGAGCTATTCTGTTGTTACAGCAACAGGAGATAAACCAGTAATTAAATCTCATTAGTAAATACAAAAGATCAATCTACTAATACGTTTTTTTTTTTATTATTTCTTTTGTTTCTGTAGCCGTCACGCCAAAAAAGACCCGCTGGAACAGGACAGTCATCTCTCGTACAGAGCAGTTGCCTCTCGTTGGCTCCCTCGGCCCCCACTGCCAAAGCCTTCAGACACACTCATTTTATAGACCCTGACGAAGCAGCCGATTGGTTGAGTGGGAGAGTTTACATATGCGTAGGCATACTCCGCCAATTCTCGACACCATACGCATGCAATGGGTGGGCGTTTTTGGGCATGAAGTTACCTATCTTGCTCATGACAATCACAGTTTCATTTTAGCTTTCTTTGAATATTCTTACTTTTAATGATCTTGAAAGCAGAATTCTTTCTTATGCTGAGTAATTTGTACAAATGAAAAATTTTAGATTACACATGAAGAAAACTACAATTCATGCAATTGAAAAACTGCATGAATTCAGCTGACATTTTTTTTTTGACAGGATACAGTACATCAGTGATTATCTTGACACTTAGAATCAGGAATCAAAAAAATATGATTGGATAATTCAAAATTCCAGATAATCAAATACCTGAGTTGTTAGAAAAGAAGTAAGAAAAAAAAAAAAAAAAAAAAAAAAAAGAGACATTTTTTGAAAGAAATTTAATATTTATATCATCAAATAGTTTATTTTTTTATGAAAAAAAAATGCACCAATTTCATTTCCTGTTAAAGTAGGGTCCATGTATGTTACATTCACCTGAGCACTGTATAAACCATAATCTCTGGCATGAACAAGGTGTAATAATTGAAATGCATGTTCTTTGAACAAAAACAATGAGCAAATTAAGAATTAATTCAACGGATTTTACCAAATGTTTTATCAAATATTGGGTATAGTTTTCTAAATTCTCAAAACACTTGTTTGCAATTAACTATTAGAATGAGTTTAATTTGGAAAAAGTGAAAAATGTTAAGACAGTTTCAATTTTTCTTTTCATTACGTGTCAGGATAATTGAAGTCCAGAAAATTGAGGTACAACTAATCAAGAAAGTACTGTACAAAGAAACGAGAGAGTGGTGGTAAGGAAGAGTAAAAATGCATTTGTCAAATGAATTCAAGTGAATTATGATAATGTTAACAACATTTAATTTTGTTTAAGAAGGTCCCGCCTTTCTGTTTCCACAATCCAAATTGAGAATACATACTAATGATTCAGTCGACAACCACAGTTAGTTTTCAAGTAGAAAGTTAATCAGTGATTTCATAGTAGGACAGGATAAATTGAAGCAAAAAAAAAAAAAAAGATTGGTTGTGATTGATTCGTTCTCTTAAGTAACAAGATAAAAGTTGTTTCCTGTTCAATATGGAGTGAGTCTTGGAAAAGTATTAATTGACTGCACAAACACAGCCTTATTACTCATAAAAGGTTCCCTCATAACACATTCTACATCAGGTAATGTCTTGCCTGATCAGAAATGAAGACCTCATAGATAAGGAAATAAGCAGTTTTGTTTCTACATGGAATTTTTTGTTTTGTTTTTCTGTGTCATATGAAACAGTGAAGAAATAAATAAAAGTAATACTTTCTTTTTTAATTTCTTACCTTCTGCCTTGTAAAATCTCGTTTTTGTTTCTTTTTCAACGCCTTTTGCTGTTTCTCGTCTTTTTTCTTCAGACTGTCTTCAAGCAGGAGTTTCTTGACTATTTTTTGGTAATTCTCTTCTTGTTTTCGTTCGAACATTCTAGCAAAAAAGTGGGGAAAAAGCAGATTGAAATGATTAAGGAGAAACAAAAAATGAAGATCAAGAAAAGACTGTACTTGAGAAAATGCAACATTTTAAATAGCTACTTCATAAGTTTAACTTAGTCTGGCACAAGGCTACAAGTACTGAGCCTTTTATTAAAACTGAAATTGTACAAAATGAAAAAAAAAAAACTACATAAGACTGAAAATATCTGCACTAGTCACTTGCTGGTGCAAAGACATTTATTTTTTAAAAGATAAAAAGGTATTGCTATCAGACCAGTTAGACATGAAGAGAAAGTTTTCTTCCTTTACTTCACTACAGTCAGTCAGAGCCTTTTCCCCCCTTTCCTTGTGATGTAATGAATATGCATACACCTGGGTTCCCCATCACAGTAATATGATTGGCTGGTGTCAGCCATAAATACAGACTGATGTGGAGGTACATGAGGACACCTATTGACTACGCCTATTGTCTTCACCTATTGCCTACCACTACAACAAGGACCAGTCCATTATGGTTACCTACTAGTTTGTCCTACTTGGTTACAGTAGTCTAAAACCATTTTGCTGCTTCGAACAAATATATCCCTTTCCGGGACATATCACCTTGCTACCAACAGTCAGAGCCTTTTCCTCTTTTGCCTTGCTACCATTAGTTTGAACGTTTTCTTCCATTGCCTTACTACCGTTGGTCTGAACCTTTTCTTCCATCTCCTTGCTACCAGCAGTCAGAGCTTTTCCCTCCTTCACCTTGCTACTGTCGGTCAGAACCTTTTCTTCCATTGCCTCACTACCGTCAATCAAAACCTTTTCTAACCTCACCTTGCTACCATCAGTAATAGCCTTTTCTTCCCTTGCCTCTCTACCAGTGGTCAGAACCTTTTCTCACTAATGTCAGTCAAAGCATTTTCTTTTTCTCACCTCACTATTATCAGTCAGAATTGGAGAACTTGAACAGCATATGCATGCAAAGTAGTATGGTGTTTTGCAGTTACTTATTGTGAGAAGTTTTAATACTTATTTTCTTCACTCTCCTTCAAAGAAGAGTGAGCAGGCTTCATGTTATACGATGTCATTTTTTTCTACAGTCAAATTTCCCAAACTGTTAGATAAAAACAGAGGATTTTTTTGTTTAATATACTTCACTGAACAATGCCAGATGTGTAGGACATCCAATGAAGATTAAACTCAATACATGCATGAGGGTTTACATGATTAGCTCATTAGCAATTATGCTGAGGTGAGTCAATCATGCAGCATTATATACGCAAGAATATATATAGGCTTCATATCAATAAATCCAGATAAAAAAAACTTGAATGGCAAATTTTATCAACACTACACAATCTTCTAATGGGAAGAAACTATACAGCATTGTACCAAGCTTAAAGTTATAAAGCTAAATTAAAATAGGTTTCTTCCACCACCCTAGTAACATTAGACTCCTCTGTATAGAATAAGGATACAGCCTCACCACACAAAGAGTGGCTGTGGTTTCCATAGCAAGTAGGTTTTTACAGGGTGAAGTTGCCAGACTCACACCCAGCTAGTTTTGAATTGAGAATTGTCGTTCACCTGGACTGGTTGCCAACCAAGTCTAGAGCCCCCACCCTGCCCAGCTATAACTGGGGGTGGGGAAATATGGATATTTGCATTTTGAAATATGTCCTCAGAACCATATTTTCATGTATGTGATCCTTGTTCAACCATAATTCACCTGAAGAAATTTTCAAGATACTTCATCGTTTAATAAATCATAATGCAATTGCAATATGCAATATTTGTTCCTAAAAGACGTTTGGTCTTGCCTTTCCATGCTGAGCACTTTCAGACACAAAATGCCATGATACCATCAGATTTGTGATAACTAGATGATTTGAATAAAAAAAGCACATTCTTTATTTTACTATGTTTTTCTCAGCAACCTGTGTCCTAATGAGTTATAGTGAAACCTTCAAGAGCAATCAAAAATAGAAAGTGTGTTGTATTTTCCATACTTTTAACCACTAGATAGAATATCACAGGTCATTCCTCAAATTTTTATATTAGAAAACAGCTACAAACTTTAAATTCAACAGACAAATTGTTATATTCTGTGCTAATAGGAATATATACTTGAAAAAACAAGGTAGATAAAATAAGTAAAGGTTTATTGTAAAAAAACCAGTACAATAAGAATAAAGGTAACAATTATGCACAAGGTCGGCGCAAGTCAATCCAGTAGTGAGTGCTACTATTGGTAGTTCTCGCATAAGTCTGAGTTGTACTCAACAGATACCAGCTAGACTCTGTAGTCCGTTGACTTACAGATACTTATAGGAAGTTACTACCTATAGTGTAGTCACTCATGGGGGTGACAGGTTATTCCATTACATCACAATATATAAATAAAACAGAACTGAAAAATAAAAATAAGTAAAAGTTGCACAAAATATATTTTTCAGGCAGTAAAACTACTGAGAAGCACTCAATGAATAACTATAGCTATAATAGTCAATAAATAAAAAAAAAAATGCAATTCCTCAGCTGATTGACTGACTCAAGAGTTTTGCATCAAAACATTCATCATCAAATTGTTGAGCATTTTGACACAATACTCTTGAGTTGGTCAGTTACAAAAGTCAACTGAACTTTTGTTGATTTATTGAATAAAATATACATTAATGAATAATATCACTGAAAATATGAAAATTTCATTTGATGCATGCATAATTAGAAAACTGAAAAGAGATATTCATAAATATATGATTTATTTTTTTTTCGGTTTGTTAACCATTTGATAGTTATTTAGAGATGAAGAATATTTGGGTTTTGAGAATAATTCTCTAATTGTTTTAGGCGATCTGAGGAAAAAAGAGAGGAAAAGAAAGAAAAAAAAAAGAGAAGTAGATGGTACAAAACCCGGTCATAAGCACACACTTAAGCTAACACATAACAGGTGTCAAAAGATATCTAGGTCAAAGTACCTGACCGAAATCCACGAAAAATGGAAGTTGTTATAATTGGTTGAAGAAATAGAGTTTAGAGATAATAAAAAAAAAAGAAAAGGAAAGACAGAAACATAATACGAAACAAGGTCGTAAGCGAAAACACACACGCTCGACTGGCACATATCAGATGTCAAAATTATCAGGTCAAGCACTTGATCTAATTCCGTGTCCACGGAAGATGGAAGTTTGTTAAAGTTGGCTGAAGAAATAAAATTTTAGGGACAATGAAAAAAAATATTGATAAGTAACAAACGAAAAGGGTGTCATTGAGATGATAGGTAACAGATGGGGAAATGTATACGAAAACAAAACATTAATACACGAAGCCCAGACAATTTCTGGGGTTGGAAAAAAAAACCACCCAAAGTGAAAAATTTTTTTTTTTGAGATAATGTAGATTTTATTATCGGCCAGAGAAAAATGGAATATTTGTATTAGCTCGCGAGAGACGCCGACAGGTCTGGAAAATCCCTTTCTTAGATCGCATCCAATTAGCGGTAGGCTGTTTTGACAGATGCCACGTGTGGAAGGGACCGATAGCGTCATTCGATCACATACGAAAAGGGCAAATTTAAATTTTGTTTTTTTTTAAGCAAGGTGTTTCTTCCCCCAGAACAAAGCCCCGGATTGTACACGCCCGATTAGAGACGTCACGAAGGAAGGAGGGAAGATACCGACCAGAGTCTCATTAGCCGAGGACAGTCACATGATACATGAGGGAGGAGGAGAGACACCCGACCAGAGTCTCATTGGCCGAGAGCGGTCACGTGATGTGCGAGGGAGGAGGAAAGATGCCCGACCAGGACCCCATTGGTCGAGAGCGGTCACCTGACATACGAGGGACCAGGGGAAGCGGGTATGCGCCTCCCCCCAGAGGCACAGTAAGGAAGTAGGGAGGAAAGTAAGAGCGATAATGGAAAATCCCTAATCAGAAATAATACGACTTTAGAATTATCAAGAAAACCCTGGCGCCGACAGACCCACCCCAGTTTGTTACGGCGTCAATAAAAGCAGGACCCCAATCGACAGAAAAATGCAGTTGGAGTTGGGCCGCGGACAGCGAGGGAGCTTGAACGCGGGCGGCGGGCCCGGTTCATTCGCCCCCTTGCGGGCAAGAGAAACCGAAGTGAAGAAATTCGTCCAACCCAAGTCGAAGTGAAGAAAAATTGCCCGAAAGCCGAAGAGAAGTTAAGTTGAAGTTGGGGTTGCGCCTCGACGACGAAGAAGTTAAGTTGCAGTTGCGCGAGAGAGAAGTTGGAAGAAAATTCGTCCCAAGCCGAAGAAGAAGAAATTCGTCCAACCCAAGTCGAATTGAAGAAATTCGTCCAAACCAAGCCGAAGTGAATAAGCTCGTCCAACTCAAGCCGAAGTGAATAAGCTCGTCCAACCGAAGCCGAAGAGAAGAAGTCGATTCGCGCACTGACGGCGAGAAAAATCAGCCGTGAACGACAGGTAGAGATCAGCGCCCAGTGTCGAAACCAATCCACACCCCGAAATGCAAATTTCTAGAGAGTAGGCAACTCGAAGCCTTAAAGTTGTATGGTAGAAGCTTGGTGCCACAGTCCACAAAACGGGTCGGGAGGTAGGAATAATCTTGTGTAACGAACATTTAGATATAAAAAGTTGTTACCTTTTTCTTCAATAATTTTTGACCTTGTGAGTTTTTTCTTTTTCTTGTGTGTTATCACCCCGTTGAACTCAGCTTGCATACGGCCCCAATCCCTGTTTGATCCCGTCTGTCTAAGATCTAATCACAACGTGGGTAGGCAGACCGGAGATCAGTGCAGTTACCCTAGTAACCAGGCGTTGGAAGCGAGTTGGGAACGACGAGGTTGGTATTCATCTAACCAAAGGGTTAGAACGTCACACTTGGAGCAGCGAGGAGCGAACAGCTGACGCCGCGGCAAAGACGTCACATCTGGTGTCGTGACCATAGGACCAGAACCCTGGACCACGTCACGTCACAGTTGGCGCCGCGAACGAGATCGAACGACAGAGTCGACGCTGCGACCAGGGAACACAATTGAGCCATGGAAGACAGGTGCCAACAATTATGGCCAACAAAAACAATTTCAAGACTCTTAAAATTTGTGAAAAAAAATACATTTCAAAATAGGATATATTGAGAGACTGGAAAAGAGTTATGGACCCAACCTGTTTTTAGGGTCTTATGCAGGCTAAAATAAAGCCAAAAGAGTATATCCTGTTGAAGTTTGAAAGATTTAAGGTTTGAGACTGAGGTGAGAGTAAAAGATACTGTTGCAGGGCATTTGCACACTGTCATGATTGCCATGTTTCCTGGCAGTGACACTTGGCTCCAGCAAGATAATGCAATCCCTACCGCCTCCCACCATTTACATGAAACTAGCGCAAGGAAGACATGGCTGAACACCAACAACAATATTAGTTCCAATGCTTACCAGATTTAAATCCCATTGAGTATGTACAGGATATGTTGTCCTGAACATATCAAATCACTAAATGTCCCATACATAACCAAATCAGTAAATGTTTAGTATATAACAAATCACTAAATGACATGTGCATGCTAAAAATCACTAAATGACACGTGCATGCCAAAAATCACTAAATGACACGTGCATCCCAAAATCACTAAATTCACCTTAGTTATAGAATGTACCTGGATAGATGTATCTATGCTATACTTTAGTTCCATACTAATAATCATCAATGACATATACATACCAAATCACTGAATGACATGTGATACCAAATGACTGTCATGTGCATACCAAATCACTAAATTTACCTTAGTTATAGACCATCCCTGGATAGATCTACCTATCTATACCTTGTAGTCACAATGCTAATGATCATCATAGAAAAAAAGAGGCTATACATTATTAGGTAATTGTCTCTAGATTTTTTACATCTTGGTTTACAACAAGTTCCATAATTAAAAATGATTTTATTTTATGACAACCAAAACGTCTAAATATTGTATTGGTTGTAATGTTCAAAAGAGTTATTAACATATGCAACATTGAAACCTCAAAACTCTTTGTATATTTTCTGTTGTTATCACGTCATTTTCATTGATCCATTCTTCAGCCTTCATCAGTAGTAATCCATGAGGAGAAAAAAGGAAATCTCTTATCCCCCCACAATTAGAAAAAAAAAAGTAATTGTTGATTAATGTACTAATCAGACTGGTATAGTTTTATAGCATCTGATACTGCAAGTAGCAAAGTGATTTCAAACTAAACACGGTGAGAGAGCTCCCCAACTGCAATTTTTCATATCAAAGAATACCTTTACAGAAAGATAAATAAAAAATTCACAAGTTTAAACAATCCTCAAAATCAGCTACCAGCTCATACACAAAAATATGCTCTCATCTCAAAAAAAAGTAAAAATTTACCATTCGCCAATGCTTAGAATATTGCTGCTACATATGGTCTGGTCTCCCTGCTAAGAGTTTCTTTTCTCACACTTCTCACTTGTGAAACTCTTTTCCAGCTCCATACTTTCCAGCCAGTTTTAATCTTCAAAAATTTAAATGCAATGTCAATTGCTATCTATGGTCCTCATGTACCCTTTTTGTTTTTTCTCATTAGTAATGTTTGTGTTTCTAGATCTTCCTAGTAACCCCTTGTGTCTTAGTGACTTTACTACCTTGGATGGAGTGAGCTTAAAAAAAATACACTCAAGACTCCCAAAATTGATCAAGGAAGAATTTGTATGAAATAACAGGCTCTTTATGCAAGTTTCTTTCCTTTTTTTCGGTAGATACTACACACAGCATATGGGTGTTTCATTTGGCAATGTCAGCCATCATTTTCTTTGCTACAAAACCACTACTCTAGTTTTCTAGAAAATGTCTTTCTTTCCACACCCCAGCAAGGATCACACGCGATAAGGGTTGAAGAATGAATCAGTCGAAAAATTTTACTAACAATAATATATACAGAAAGAAATTTGGGCACCAGATCATTGTTCTGCATGAAGACTGATCTTATGCAGATGAAATTCAAATATAGTAACTTCATTGTACTAATTAGCTATTCCATTCAAAAAGTTATTTCCCTTACACCAATCCTTTTTTTTTTTTCATCGTAGATCAGATGTAAGGGAGATAATTGAAAGTTGAATAACTTTTCTCAAGGGAGATAATCAATGAAACGTTTTTTGATAGTACCACCCACAAAGCTGGATTTTTGGGACAAAAAAAAAAAAATAAATAAATAAATAAAAATAAGTTTTATTATACTGAACGAAAAATGTTTTAAAAATTGTTCATTTTGCTGAAAGAAAACCAATCCAGAAAAGCAATTATTTTGATAAATGAATTTTCTTATTGCTGTAAGGTTTACAGAATACACACTTCAAGGAATGTTTTTGCCCAGTAATGAAATGATATATCCAGGAATACAATCTTTAATAAGTGTGTTGAAATATCGCTACATAAATTTTTAGTGAAAAAAAAACAAAAAAAAACGAACTTTCAGAATTTTAAGTTGCATTTAAAACATTTTCTGCTTAACCTCTAATAATATATTTTGAAAAGCATTTAAAAAAAACTAGAACAATAGAAGAAAATGTAATAAACACAATTTCAAATCCAGTTATCACACAGATTTCTAAAAAATTAAATAAAATGTTTAAAAATGACAATTTTTCAATTTACCAGAATAAACATCTAGTATTTCTCTTTTTAATTACTGAATAAAAATAATTTTAATTTCTAAATAAAAATCAGATTATAATTTGTTTTCAATAATTTTGTGTAATTATAATTTCATTAAAGTGCTGTTGAAAAAAAGAAAAGCCTTGCCACCAATAAAGCCATCATCCAATGATGGGTAATTTTGGAGCTGAAAAAAATTATTGAAATTAATCCAGAGTAATCTAGCTAAGATAGGCAAGAACTGATGCTTGGAAAAGTGGTAGTCAGCGGGTAGAGAGATCAGGAGAATAAAGCGGATGTGGCAAAGTCTCATATCACAAGTTGGTAAGCTTCTGCAGTGTCATCCTGCCAACATGTGGCCAAGCGTTGTCATGAAGCAGAATTGGACATTGGTGATTAACAAATACCAGGTAAATTTTGTTTAACTAAATGTGCATTTCATCCAGTTGTTGACTATAAACTTCAGCAGTGATGCTCTGGGCAGATTCCAGAAGGCTGTAATGGCTGATGCCAATGGCAGACCAGCAGACAATCACCATAATCTTCTGTTGGTGCAATTTCGGTTTTGAAAAATGTTTGGGTCCTTTCTCATTATCAATCTGATCATTTATGATTGCCATAAAGGACCCATTTCTCATCACATGTCGCAATTCAATCAAGAAATGGCTCATTTGAATTTTGCAGATGCAGAATCAAACATTTCAAAATGTCAAACACTTTGGCTTTTACTGAGTTAATGTGGAACCATTTATCAGGTTACTTCACCATGCCAATTTTCTTGAGATGGTTTGATATTCCTGAAATGTTGAAACTCATTATCTGAGACGTTTCTTTGACACTTTGACATGGGTTCTCTTTGACTAGTATTTTCAGATATTGATTTTCCTTTGCAGGTGAACGTCCTCTACCACCTGGATCTTCAAGACTTGTGGCCCCACTGTGAGAATTCCCCACTATGGGAAGACAGTACCATATTGTCCGATTACAAGTGGGTCCATGCTCTGTTAATGTTGGCAGCAGTTTGAGAAGCATTATGAACACACTTGAACTCATACATCTCTTCTTATTGCATCAGGGGGTATATAATATTTTAAATTAACAAAAGGACACTTTAATCATTAGGAATGAGTAATATATTTTGTGCAACTATTATAATAAAATATTAGAACACAATTAAAAGGTTTATTGTAAATTGGACATTATTTTCTAAACAACCTAATAGAAAGGTACATAAGACAATGGGATTTCTCATTGGATTTATTCAACATTTTCAGTTTCTAAAAGAACTAGAAATTCTATCAGGATTTAATATTCTTTGGGTACAATTTTAACAACATGATATACAAATGACACTAAGTTGATGGTAGATGTAGAAAGAAAATTGCTGGCACCAATTGTAAGAAAATGAAAGAATGCCCAGTAAAAAAGCAGTAAATTCAGAAAGAAATTTATTTAGGTATCATGATTCATGCACTAACTGAACAATTATCGTAAATGTTTGCCTGAATTTTCAACACAAAGTTGTAAGCATGGTAACCAGGAGGCAGCAGCTTTGCAGATAATGGCAAGAGGAATTTCATTCGAAGCTTCAGTTAGGTTCTACTTCAATGAATCAATATTGACAAAATCATGAGAAAGATTTTGCAAGTAAGTTAGAAGTATACTCCAGATACAGTAATCAATAAGATTAAGATCTGGGATTTTACAGGGCCACAGAGATAGACCAATTAGAGGTGGTGCACTTTCTCGGAGAATACCCATGCCAATTTTTTTTGACTGGATAACCTGTAGAATGTAGGGTCGTCAGCAAGAACAATGACCAAGGATATGAGCTGTGAATTGGAGATGCCAAATTCAAACAAGTACGACAATTGAAATGTCTGAAAATGTCTTAAACGAGGATGGAAAAGAGACACTGAAATCCAAAGGAGCATTGGAATAGCAAAAGTTCAAAAACTTACAGCTTTTCTTGGTTTTCTTTCTTTTGTTTTTGTTTCAGCAACATCACAATGTCTGCATTGCCACCTTCTTGAACAATCTTCTCTCTCTCTTCCAGTTCTTGTTTTTTTTCCAGCTCTCTTTTCTTCTTCTCTTTTCTGATCCGTTTGTTCATTGAACCCTGTGTAAAAAGAGAGAAAAAGAAATGAGCCACATGACATCACTTCATACAGTGATAATAGCAACAGTCAATTTCAGTTTGTTTGCAGCAGCCACCACAAAGGGCCCAGGTTGAGGCTAAATCTGCCTCCCCCAGCAGCTTACAAGTCCATGGTGCCATTTTTCCTTTGGAAATATATCTTTTCTAGATATAGAAAGAAACTCCAGATAACAGGCCTCAATTTGTGAAAACCCAAGACTCACTGTTTCCCATTTGTGGAATATATTCTTTCCTGGGACATAGATGAATCCAGCCCATTTGAATCTGGAGTCCTAAACATGGCTTCTCCAGACACAGAAATATCTGTATATTATACGTAAGACTTTTCCTTTTGTTTCTCTTTCGACTTTCCTTTGCTGTGTAGATGTTGTAACCTAGAAAGGGTTACGAAATGAGGAATAACCAAAACAGAGGTTGGAAAAGAAATGGTAATCTTCATAACATCAACAAAATACAATACTCGCCAGCGGCACAAAGTAGGTAAACCACTGCTAGTGGTCAACTACTTAGACAGCATATTACCCCCACTTACAATAGTGTCCAATGTATTTTTGAAGATTGGGACATACTCATTAGTGTTCATAGGTATAGTATATAACAGTAGATATATGTGGTATATTATTCTGTGTGGGACATGTGTATATATGTATATATAGTTTTGTGTATGTCTTAGTGTATAAAAGTCTCTCTGAGTACAAAGCATGTTTGTCATTCCTTTTCTTTTCAGCCATTCTGTTCTGTCTATGAAATATGATATATATCACAGATATAATGCCCATAATGGGGGAAATACAAATGGGAGAATAAACTATTCTCTCCTAGCTCACTCCCATCAGAAACAAAGAAAAGAATGCCAAACTGCCATGTAATATCTAATCTCTAAGCATTGGACAATCACCTCACAGAGGAAGAGACTTGAGCCAACAGAAATATGAGATTATTGAAAAACACTAAGAATACTATGGACAGAGCATATGAGCAATGAGGAAGTGGAAACCTTAAGTAAAATATAAACAAACAAACTTGTACTTATAATCAGAAAGAGTTGATATTTTTTTTAGATACATGATGCAGAAATGTGCAACTCTGCATGCACATATATAATGTATATGCATGTCTATGTTCTGTGTGAGTGACTTAATGTACACACACACAACAGAGTTTAAAATAAAACATTCCCTTCACACTCAGCCTGACAGCCCTTACCTTTGGCTGAACAATAAAATCAAAGATGGAGACGAAAATTTTTTTTAAATACTAAAAGAAATCAGAGAATTGTAAGAATTTATTGAACTTTTCAGAAATTACTTCGTAATAAATAGAATTACTTTTAAAGATTTTTGTAAAAATCTTTTAGAAATATCTTTAGGTTTGCTAGTGAATTTAAATGAAACTGAAAAGTATATTTGTATTGTCTTAATTTCATTTTCTGTCAGTCAATAATCCCTGGGACAACAGGAAAAAGACCATAAAGTTAAAATGTGCAGGTTTTTCATGTCATTTGTATGAATTTTGTATTTAAACTGGGTATATTTTCTAATAAAATGTAGTATTTTAAATGGACAAACAACTGAGATTTGAAATGTTATAATCTTGCCATCAGGAAAATGACAGGTAACAAAACTGGTAGGTTTTATATTCAACTGGTTACTACTAAATACAGATCTTTGTATTTTGCATGCCAACCCCAGATTAAGCTTTAGCACTCTGAATTATTAATATTACTTCTTTTTCAAACTGCATTTTTTTTCAAGGTCTCTCAATTATCTTTATTGTTAATTTCACTCAAAGTTGTTTTCTGTTGCCATAGCAGGATATGACAACACTATGAAATTCCAAACAAATTCAAATTCAGGGATCAGAGTCACCTTCAGAGGCAAGATAAACTTTTTGTACAGAAAATGAAGTTACATACAAAATGAAATTTTAATAATAAAAAATTTAAAAAAAAAAAAAAAATCAATTTCAAATAATTTTTAAAGCAAGCAGATCCTCCCCTGCTCAGAAAATTGATAAAAAAATGACTTTTCTTCTTTAATAACCCCTGACATGGCTTTGTTTCAAGCTTAGAATTAAAAAAAAAAAAAAAGACAAACTTACAGTAGATTAGTGATTAACCAAACTAAACGCTCATACTATTATTATTGTAGACTCTTTGCTGGGTACACTGCACTCATGATCTCATAATGTATTAAGATTAATAATCACCAAAACTTTTAATCTGATTTTTTTCCTTCTAGAAAATTGCATAATAACACATATTGCAGACAGGGAAACAGTCAATGTTTTGTTGGTTATATTTTTTGCTGTAACTTTACACCATTTCTGTTTTGTAAACCAAAACTTTAGTCATTTGGTTTTCATCACCTTGGGAATTCAGAAAAGGTTAGCAAAGATACAAAGCAAAATTCTTTCAATTTGTAGTCATTGCTGACATTGTTAGTTGCAGTTTTCATAATAATACCAAATTGTAAAACCTTTTTTCCAGAATTATTGATTCTTTTATCAATAAACTTGGAATTTGTTGTTTATAGCTTGTTCTTGGCAACAGGTTTCAGAAAAGTTCCACTTGAATTTCTGAAATGAAGAATTATTTGTATTCCTATTATTTACGGTGGGACTAATATACTCATCTTTGTTGTTGTTATCACAACATTTCAGCTATTGTGTCCTCTGGTCTCTTGTAAATCAGGGTAGACTTCAAGAAATTTCAAACTGAATCTTTTATTTAATCTATAGGGGTAGATTGTTCTTTGTCCACTGTTCATGTCTAGGGATATATTATATGTGCCATGTCCCTTCAGGATGTTGACAATTATGCCTCTCCACAATTTCCTGTCCTTTGTAGCTCTTAATAAATTTTGTCATTTGTTATCTCTCCTAAACCCTGTTCTGCCAACCATTTACTCAATCACACTAGGTCAGTCATGCATAGTTTTCCTATATCCCTTTTGCCTTCAATCTGTCCTCTGAGTATCAAATTTTCTATGCCCTCTTTTTTCATTGTATGCCCCCAAAATTTCAACTAGCTCTTTGTGATGGTAAGTATAAGTGTACTTTTTGTTTCCATTATCTTTAGAACTTTGTCATTGCTCAAATTTTTGGTCCATGATATTCTCAGTATCCTTCTGTAGAATCATGTTTCTCTTGCTTCAAATCTCTTCTACATCTGTGAGGAGATTGTTCTTTATTTATTGAGGACTGATATTACATAACAGTTCAGTAACCTTTTCTCTGTTTCAAAGGAAATTTTCTTGTTTCTTAATGCTTTGCTTAGCTTTTGGAAGGCATCTTTCATTATCCCAGTACTCCTTTGGATTTCATTTTTGTACTTTCTGTCTTCTGTCAAAACATTTCCTAGATATTTAAATTTTTGTGCGCATTAGATTTTGAAATCTCCAATTTGTAATTTGCATGTTGGGCTCTTTCTTTTGCTAACAGCCATGCATTCTATCATCTTGCAATTGATGTTTAGTCCTTTCTTCTTTCTTTCACTAGCCTATGTGGGAGTTCTTGTAGTTTCCTTTCTATATCAACTCTGTGTCATCTGAACACCTTATGTTGTTAAGATTGCGGCCACAAATAAAAAATACTAGTTGAACTTCTAATTCTCTCAGAATCCCCTTATTGTATGGGTTAAACAGGTCTGATGAGAAGACATCCTTGTCTTATACCCCAATTTCTACTTCTGTATATTTACTGAAATCATTTTCTTTCTGTATGCAGATGGTTTTGCTGCCAGTATAGGTTCTGGATTATTCTAATGTCCTTCCCAAATATGTCAAGGTTACCTAGCAGTTAACAATAGTCCTTTGTGATGTACTTTATCAAATGCTTTTGCATAATCTATAAAACACTGTTACTGCTGTAATGGAATGTTTCACTCTCCCTATTACCTATTGTGGACTGATTATATAAGTAATATATGTAGGACATACCAGAGTCTGTCTGACTGGCTTCAGTAGTGTATTCTCTTTTACAATAAACCTTTCTTCTATCTACGCCTGTGTTGCTGTTCGTTCCACTCGAGTACCACTTTTGTCTGTTTGTAACCTCTTTAAGGATACAACAGTTACACATCCTTCTGTATTTGTATTGCTCTCTCTGATTATCATTCTGAGCATAAATATTGAATTCCTTGTTCCAGTGTCTTTAACTAATATATGGTCTGATTCTGTTGCATACTCCCTATTCCTGTTTTTGTATTTTCTTTATACTGCACAGTTATTACTAGTCCTGCTTCCACTTAGCCTGAGTCATTACTACCTGGGTCAGGAATTGAACTTACAGCTAACATGCCACAAACTTTTTGGTTTATGCATGACCACAGACTTTAACACTGGTTCACCAATCTTTCACTCATTTGCTGCCTAAAGCTAAATACTTTTAGCAGGTGGGGAAATATACATAAGCAAAAATACCAATTGTTTGCCTAAGATATTTTTACACTCAATCTGTGTTATGTATTAAGAATTAGGAACAAAAGGATGGTCTGGGGTCAAGAATACAATTCTTACTGATGTTATATGGATATCATGTATCATGAAATGGCATTGCTAATGTATTTACTGTAGAAAACAGTGGGAATATTTTTAATATAGAAATGCATTATAAATCCTAAAGAAATGGATTGTCAGCAGTAAAAAATGAATACAATTGTTACTGATACCATATGGCTATCATAAGCATCATGTAATGGCCGTGATCTGGAATTAATGCAAGCATTATTGACAGAATTATGTTGTTATATGTATAATTCAGTGACATGTTATCAATTGGACTATTATGTTTTGAATTGCAAGTTTATCTGAAACTTATTCACAAGTAGACTAATGTCCTCATCTTTGTTTTATTATCACAGTATTTTGGCTGTTGTGGTATCCAACTTTTTTCGGCTACCTCACAAGACAGTAGCTGAGAAGATCAAAGCATTGGTATGTGAATTTGGTGGCATG